ATTTTCCAAAGCCCAAGGCAACACCTCCAATTTCCAATAATTTTATATATTTCATATCATGAAATTGAAAGAGAACAAATTTCCAAATAATCTTATAACCTCCATGATCCAACATTAAGTCCACACTTTGAGTGTTTATACTTATGTATATAAAAAAACCCAAACTTCCGAGTCCCCATATGACCCGAGAGTATAGAATCAACTCGATAAACCTCAAATTTACATAAAGTACAGTTAAATGAATTCCATACTTGCATGAAATCAAATTGTACAATTCTAGCTTTGCATAAAGCCGACCCAAATGAATTTTTAACATACAAAGAACTGACTTATATAAATCTCAAATATGCATAAAACCGACTTCAAAATCACTTCAGGCTGAGTGAATAAGCATGTGAAAGTTCAGATTTTTACAAATAAGCCATGCAAAGTTTCAGATTTTTTAAATAAGCCATGCAAGACTTTTGGATCTTGCAAATGAGTCACACAAAGTTTTCAGATTTTTTTTTTTAAAAAAGGCCATGCAAATCTTCAACACATGTATATCGTCCCAAACCTTTCATATTGCAAAAGAGACAACTCCCTTTCATGCATAGGATAAGGTTGAATAAAGTTTGGGTGTTAAATATGTAAATATATAAGAATTGGGTGCTCTAAAAAAAATGAAACAACAGCTGTTTTGTCATCCACCCAAATGAATTATAAATATAACTATTTTAAAAGAAATTAAAAAAGCAAAAGCATGAGCCATGATATCAGTGAGATATCCCTAGCTTAGTGTCACCTCCCAAAAGAGCCCTTATGGGTGGTGGGCAGCCCAGGACTTAAATACTGCTTTTCGGCCCTACACCTAGCCAATGTGAGACTATTTGTCCGTGACATTCTACTCCACCCAATCACGTGACGCCCTCGTCACGGATCGGCTCCCCCGGGCGTCCCACTGGCACCTGGAGAGTCCACACACCTGGCAGGCAGTAATCTGCTCTGATACCACTTGTCACCTCCCAAAAGAGCCCTTATGGGTGGTGGGCAGCCCAGGACTTAAAT